TTTGAGTTCTGTCAAAACAGAGTATCTGATGTCAGTGGACAGCAACTAATAGCAACCCAGACCGAAGAGGCACTTTAGGTTGTTTCCATGTTTAAAGAAAATGAAATTCAATGAGAAGAAAGGATGAGAACGTTTATGTTTGGATCTTATCGAATTTGATTTAAATAGGGAAGATTTATAGGTACAGCAACAAAGAAATGCTTGCATCAGATTTAGACTTTTCCCTTCAACTTTGTGCGGTCTCTGGCGCAATCTTTCTTGGTCTCCCTCGTATTTAGCTGGTGCTAAAAATGGACCCGTGAAAGAATATTTTTAAAAGCAATAACAATGTTTGGCTAATAATCAGATCTGATCAGTAATACTGTGCTAAAACCACAGACTCCACTGGAGAATTCTGCAGCTGCATAAATAGATTTCCAGTTATGAGCAAATCAGGGAACAGCACACCCTGTGTTGCCTCTGTTTTTCCAATTTCCAATCAGATACTATATTTACTCAAGCACTAATGTTTGTGCTTTTCTACTTACTATTTCAGTGGGAAATATCGTCCAGTGTAGAAGAACAGAAGTTCAGCTGTCACATTTCAGATGTCCACAGTAAACTTTCCATCCAGATGTAGTGCATATTTGAAAAAAAAACTGGAGTTTTTCCACTCGCTTTGTTTTTAAAATGCAAATTTTAAACATGCGCGAAACAGGTGGTTGGAAAGTTGATAGCACCAAATGGTGATTTCCCCTCGTGTCTTCACACATGTTTTCATTTAAATACTGTGGAAAGCAAATGAGGTCAAATATAACATTTCACAAAAAAAACCCAACTTAACAATAAAAATCTTAAAAATAATATAGACGTGACATATATATTATTTTAACCCTTTAGATGCATTTTGTTCTTTTTTGTAAAAGCATGGAGAGGCCTGACTCTTAAAAAAATGGATCAAACGGCTACAAAAGCAAAAGGTTACTTGCGCACTGATTTTATAGCTTGTAGCACCTTTAGTTGCAATAACTAACTAACTAAATAAAGTAATAAAGTAACAGTTTTCTTTTTGACTTAAACAGTCTGTCACATCATTGTGGGCCAATTCTAGACCCCTCTTTTTTTTACAAAGTTTGTTCAGGATATTGAGATTTGGAAGCATTCATGTATGCACAGCTCTCTTAAGGTTCTACCACAGCATGCCTGCACTTTGACCGACCCATTGTGACACCTTAATTGTTTTTTTTTTTTTTATCAGCCATTCTGTTATAATTTTGCTGCTGTGCTTGGGATCATTGCCCTTTTTTATGTCTGAATTTGGATTAAGCTTTAGCTGTCCAAAGACAGATGGTCTCACATTTAAGTCCATACAGAGAAGTTCATCGTCGTCTTAATGACTGCAAGGTGCCGAATTCCTGTGGCTGCAAAACGAACCCAAATCATCACTTGGCCACCACTGTGATGCGTTTGATATTAAGTGTTCGTGTTGATATGCTTTGTTTGCTTTTGTGCATTAGGGATTATGCCAAACATCTCCATCCATTAGGTTTACAACACCAGAAGTGTTTTTTTTAGAGAGAAGACACTTTCTCCTGGAAACCCTACTAAACAATTCACACTTGTTTAATTTTTTTCTAATCGTGTTATCATGAACTTTAACATTTAACATGCTAACTGAGGCCTGTAGAGTCTGTATTTCTTGTGTTTGTTGTAGTTTCTTTAAGAGTTGTGTGGTCTGACCTTAGGGTGAATTTGCTGAGAAGACTGTCTTTGAGTTGACAAAAACGGAATGCTCCAGACCAGCAAACAATTTTTGAGATACTTACCTTTGTAATTCCTACAAAAGCAGTAAGTTTACTGCATAGAGAACTGTAAAAACTCTTTTTCACATGCTTGTTAATGTTCAAGCCATGCTTATGGCAAGAACATCAGACTCTAATTTCTGTCAAGCCTTCATAATGTAAATTCATAACTTTTACTATGTTTTATTGGTGTTTCTACTTAAATACACCTCTGAAAATGTGCTGGTAAAGACCCAAACATGCCAAGTTCTGTCCTCAAACTGACGTCAAAAACCACAGAAGGTTTCCAACATGTTAAGATGAATGGTTTTGCAATATAGTACTGAGGATATTAAAATCACGAGCACAATTCGGTATATGATCCCTTCCAGAGGAGTAGTAATTGCTGTAGTTTGGAGGTTGGGAGCAGTCTAATATTTAAAAATGACTGGGTGGTGATTATATGTTGCTTTGGGTTGTATTTGGGTTTTATCACCAGCAATTTCATTTTGATGGTTTCCTCTACCTCTACAGTTGATCAATCATTGAATGCACTCATATCAATTTTACTGCAATCATAAAGTGGGCTGGGGAGCATTTACGGCTTGATGTGACATGCATACATCGCCTGTACTGGTGACATGACAACAGCCAAGGGAAGCTTAATGTGTTATACAGTCACACCATAAAATATGCCACTCATGGAAAAAATATGTTCCTCCCTTTTCCTACTTCCAGATGTTTTCACAGCACACTATTTATGAGGGATCATAAGAACTAGGACTCCTTCTACTTAGGAGTTTAGATAAGAGTCACTTTGTAATAAATCTGCAAAATTTAAAGCTGGAACTACAAAGTGGTGTTTTGAAACAGAGCTACCACCTGTGGCTTTGAAAGAAAGTAAAGCGTGTCAGGACAGCAGCTAATGTGGAACCATTAACAGTATCTGTATTTGATTAACACTGTAAGATTGCCATAAAGTGAACCTGATTTCATCATTTGAGACATTTCTATGGCTGCAGTACTCTGCACAGTAGCACGAGACCATTTGGACACATGGCCTGAAATCACAGAGGCTGCAGCTGTGGGATCAAGAGGCACATTCCCTCAGAGCTGCATAAATACTTCCTGTTTGGTAGGTGAGAACTGCAAAGGAGTCAGACTCGGAGAGGAGAGCTGTCAAGAGACATTAACAGAGTAATAAATATGTGAAATCACAGCATGCTCACAGATACTCCTAGCAAACAAGATGAAGTATCCCTTAAATAGTGGAATAATTTGACCTAAAATACAGCCAAATAGCTGATAAATAGCTTGATTTCTGTTCACTGTAAGAAATGGTTACAGAAATATTTCACCATTTTGGGAAATATTGTGATTTTTGATGAAAGTTTGATGCAAACACTGAGAGTAAAGTAAATATGAAAGCTAGCAAGAGCATTAGCTTAGTACAAAGACAAGAGGGGGCAGCTAGCTTGGTTATGTTCAAAGATTAAAAAAAAAACTTCATATTTTAAAATCTTACTACAGCAATTTTTAAAGGAACTTTGTCACATTGCATACACATTGTTGCTTACAGACACATATAAAGGGTTTTTTAAATATATGTTTTCAGTCTTTTTTCCAAACTACGCTAATAGCTGCTTCAGATTTAGCATTTAGCAAAGAGTTGCGACTCTTCATCAAAAAGCCACCAAAATACATTTTCTTTACTATTTGGCAGCATGTTGTAACAGTTTTAAATGCCGAAGCTTTTCTGGGGCCAAAAAACTCAAGTGCTCACTTGAGCAGATACAGCGACATCCTGGCCCTTGGACGCAAACACTAACCCTCCCAAAAAAACCCAAACTGACCACATTTGCGACGCTTCAAACAGTCTCATTCTCAAAATCCAAACTTTTTAAGTAACTTAAAACTGATCTGCAGATTCAGTTGAACTTTATTACAAATTTCCTCTTCTGACAACATAACAAATGCAGTCCTAGAAAAACAATGAAAAACACATGCAAGCTTCTTGGATGTCTGTTAGGTCCAGACATGTTATTGCTAAGGAAAAATGGTTGATCATCTTATCTTGATGTGAGCTGTCTGGACCTCTTTATATCCACAGCTTATTAAATTACCAAAACCCATATTAACAGTTGTAGTTTATTAATATAAATATATAACCCTAGATACGGGTGCTGCTTTTAAAGAATGGTACATGAATTTCACATCTCCCACTTACAAAACTTATCGCCTCAGTCATCACACAAGTCTGTATAGCTCATTACATGTGCGGCTCTGCTGGCACCAAATTAATCTGCTTTAATGCCACTTTTGCAGTGTAAAATTTTTTGAATGAACCCAAACAACTTCATCTTTGACATATTTAACATGATCATAACATGGACACATGATTTCTTTACACTTTACGGACAGGTGCACATTGAGATTTAATGTACTTAAACTATGCTGAGAGGATAAAGATACAATAACTCTGATCGCTTTGCATCGTGTCATTTTGAACCACCACATCAGAAAATTTATTTTAAAGTCTGGCTTGCAGTATGAAACTCTGAAAACCTTCACTTCTGCATGACAGTGAAGAAGAAGACAACGAAGAAGAAGAAGACAAAGAAGAAGCAGAAGAGGTTTTCTAAAAGAAAATTTAATGAAGCATAAAAATTTCCGTCTCCAGCCCGCAGCACCAGTGTTCTGCTGAGGAGACTTTTTTCTTAAATCCTGTTTCCTCTTATTTATGCGGGACAGATTACTGCTCAAAAGCTCTTAACACCTAAATCTTCTTATCCATAAACACAGGAGGAAAAAGTGCATGTTTTTCCTGTCCTGAAAAACATGCACCTAAACTTTCTAAAATGTCAAGGCATTCCACTAACTGGTGCTAAATCCTGCCGAGACGCTGCACTGTGCATTTATTTTAACAAGCTTAAGCCCAGGTTATTCTTCCCAGGTGTCTCTTTTGGATTTTCTTTTCTTTCTCCCTCTTTCTCTGCATTGGGAAAAATGTCAGATGTGATCTGCGGAGACATCTCAGCCCATTCTTCACAGCTGTGAAGTAGGATGTCTTATGATACATTTACTTGCTTCTCAGTTTCCATGTTCCTTTGCATGTGCAATCCCAAAAGGCAAAAAAGAAAAATGATCCAATCTCTGCCTTGCAATCAGACGACCATGCCAAAGCAAAACCAAATCAAAATGAACACATTTAACTATAAGACTTGATGATGCATCACTTACCTTTGTGTGTGCTGCTGCTGTGGTATCACTGAGCTTTTAAGGAGTTTGTGACAGACGCTGAACAGCAGCACTGGTGAGGGTTTGGCTTTTATCTACAGGTGGGTGGAGCTGCACAGGCTGAGAGCACAGAGGAGCTGGATCTGTGCACGAGGAGAGACGGGGGGAAGAAAACAGGATCTGTGTGAGAGAGAAACCACTACTGGAACTCCATGTTTGCAGCATTAAGAGGTTATTATACACAGAAACAAAGTGAGGGGAAAGAAGAAACCCAATCAGCTGCACGAGGAGGAAGATTCTCGTTTGACTTGGACCTCTCAGTGCATTCTTTGCATGGAGAAAGATTTAAGGGCAGGGTCTTACTCTGGTTAGCCAATGCTAGCTGAGGTTAGGCTCTAGCTGAGTGGGGAGGTTTTTGTGGCAACCAAAGTGCACACACAGTAGTTGATAAAACAACCTTACCACAAAGGACTATTTAGAAACTGGTCAAATTGTTCACATTTCTACTTTTTAAGGACTTTTGAGACAACATAAGAGAGGATATGAAGCTACTTAACATTGGAATTGTGTTTTCTTATTTAAAATAAAAGCAATAATCAAACAGATCTATTAGTATAAAACTCCTACTCATAACTGAGCAGCGGTACATCACAAATTTGACCTAAATGCTAGCTACTAGCATTCTTTGCTCACAATTAAGTTACTGCAAATACCATGCTTATGTGCTCCTGACGTGTATTTCAGGACATTTATACATATAAGTACAGCTAAATAATGACACGGTGAATGATTTTGCATCGTAACTGTGAAAAAGTTGCGTGTGCAAGCCTGAATACTTCTCATCCTCAGTGGTCACCATCTTACTTTTGTACTCAGCCAAATTCCAGCCTGTAGGTGGAGGATTAATGTTGGTGCCAACACCAGTGGCTTAAAAGAGTTTGTGTTGATGTTCAGTGTTTATCTGTGCTTAAATGTTCTATTAAATGTAAGAGAATTTAATGAGTTCTGCTGTCAAAGTCTCATCAAGTGTCAAAAGTTTGCAAAATACAGCAGTTACAGTGTAAGTCGGTTATTGCGAGTGCTTTTTTCTCACAAAGAGAGCTTGTGGTTGTCTAAATTGTATATAACATTCTTTCTTACGGGCAGCAGGGGGCAACTCTTATGATTTGAAAAGGAAGATCACTTGTATTGAGATTTATAGGAAAACAGCCCTTTGGCTTCCTCAATCTATGACCTCAGTGAACTTTTTCCTGGAGAAGTCAATGTCTTAATCACTAGTTTCATGTCTTACTGAGTACGAATTTCTTTTCTTAAAAATGTAAATAATGTTCTAATATTTTCCTCTAATCTTTTTCTCAATCAGTGATCCAAACTCAAACTGCCTCTCTACACAGTTTAATCAGTTCTAATTGGATCTCATCTCTCCAGAACATTTTCGTCTCATTTTTATTCGCTGACAAAAGTGCCAATGCATTTAACCATATAGTTTTTGTGCTAATAGGAGCCAAGCAAAGTTGAGCTAAACTAAGGCTGTGCAGACCTGCATCGGGCGCCCATGCAGCTCCTCTCCACAGCTTTTACATTGAAAAGTTGACAGTGTTTAGCTTTAGTCCAAAGTCCACCAAACAGAGACGGCATGGGGTGATCATGGACCTTCTGAACAGCTGTTTCAAATCTGAGAATTATTCTTTGAGCTTTTGTTTGTGTTACCATTTTACTTCTTTAGTTCTTTTGTTGTCATGCAGGGGTTGCTTTTAAAGATAACAATTACGTTCCCCCCTCTGTCAGCGTTTTTGCGTCTCAGTCTCACAGCAATAATTTGTGCTCATTACAGCAATTTGCAAGTAGCCATGACTTCACTTACTGTTTACTACTAATTAATGTGGACAGAAAAATGAAGTCCAGGCATATTTATGAAAAAAATGTGTATTTTTTGAAAGTTTGGATAGATAAACTTAATCTTCATTTTTCACAACTCAAAGACCAAACAGCAGAAATTGGTTTTCCCAGCACACCAGAGAACAAGAAGCAGTCAGCTGCATGGAAATACTGACATCATACCTGTCTGCATGCAGAATTGCTGTTCATTAGCCTGCCACTTAGATCCCGAGGCCAAGTCGCTCCAGCAACATGAAAAGCTCAGACAACCCCGACAAAGTTTCTTATTACTTGCTGTTTTTCTGTTCCTCGGTCAACCTCCTTTCATCTTGGTTAGTCAGCTCCTAGTCATGTATAATACTAACAAGTGGAGCTGTGATTTGTATCTGCTCCATTCTTCTTGTTTCTCTGAAAACTTGGGAAATAGGATTAATGCTTTCCAGTGGACATGACTTTCAAAACCCGAAGCATATCCGTGTCAAACAATCCCACTGTTTCCCTGAAAAGATGCTGAAGGAGCTATAAAAGTGGTTCCATATGATTGACTGAAATGTGATTTATCCAGTCACCATCAGCATAATTTACTGGCTGGCATGTATTTTGCCTACCATTTGGCAAAAGCTTGATATATGATGTGCTCCAAAACTAACAGGACTGAAATGAAGTGTGTGTGTGTGTGTGTGTGTGTGGGGGGGGGGGGGGGGGTGTCAACCAGTCACAAGAATCAGCTTTTTTTTGGACTCCCTCTCTGTTGCGATCACTTGAGGGCAAATTGAATGTAGTAACATAGTAACAACACTCCACAGTGTGGATTTTGTGGCCAAGTAATTGTAATTTGCCTTTTGAAAAGATGCCAGCTTGGTCTTTGTGGTCTTTGTGGGTGAGACTGATGGGCACTGAAAAAATGCTAGGGGCTAAGCTGGTGAGACTGACAAAATAACGTGTACGGCATTCAGCAGTGTGATTATTGAAAAAAGGAAGAAGGAATTCGTGAGAAAACAGAAATTTGTGGTGCTTTTGTTTCATTATAGCCCACCTGAATACAGGCTAGACACGACTGAAGCTCAAAATATATTTGGGCTGTGTAAAATATGTCTAACTTTTTCTTATCTAACATAATTTAAGAAAAGAAAAAATAGAAGAATAGAAATGAAGTTTTTGGGTTTTTCTCTCCTCTTGTTAGAGATTTTACTTTTGCAAATAATGACAATGATATTTCTTGAGGGTATATGACATAACTCTGTACCACACATGACATGTCAAAAATAAAAGTGCTGATCAGGCATGAATGTCTGGTGCTATGCCTGAATATGACTGAACCACCAACACCTCCACCAGTGGCTCAGGGTCTGACTGATGTTCCAAATAAGCATAATATACTTATTGTTATCTTCACAATTTGTTAATCCTTCATCTTGTCGTTGCTTTTGTTTGAGGTGAAGGAACCATCCTCAAGAGCTGGAAAATAGAGGAAATGTAGAAGAGATAAAAACTGCAGTTCCTCGAGTCGCCACTTAAAAGTCAGTCCCATTGACTCCCAACATTAAAAAGCATGTTTACAGCCTGGTACAAAAAAAATGTACTGCCTTTGCTAGCCCTCCTACTTCTTATTAGATGCAAATTGTATAAATGTGAAAATCTTAATTGACTTCCTTCTTATCATATTCGCAAAATTTTCAGAAAATTTGACCAACAAATTAACTTTGAGGTCAAGTACAACAATATTTAAACTCGTCTGAGAAAATTCTTGAAAATCCTGTGTCTGTCCCCTTCTGGCTGCCTCTGCCTCAATTTTATCCCACAACTTAGACATTTACATTATTCACACTATCATTACACATACAGGATCTTGGGGGTGGGCACAATCACAGAGTCCAAATTACCATCAGGGTGTACACCTCACCCCTGGCGTCGTTGCCCACCTCTCAATTTTAAATACAC